ATCATCATCATCATCATCATCATCATCATCATCATCACCATCATCATCATCATCATCATCATCATCATCATCATCATCACGGTGTAGCAGTAGGTGCTCCACTGACGTACGCAGAAGACCCGAGTTCGATTCCTGAATACGGAGATTTTTTTGTTATTGTGCTAACTACTTACTGCTTACTGATCACATAATGTACGAGGATCGTAAGGGCGCTGTGTGATAGAGGGCCTCGTCGTAATATGTCTCCACTTTTCGCGGGGGTTTGTTGTGAGCGCCTTGGTTTTTGGCGAAGGATTTTCCTATCCATTCCACAATGTTATCGGTCCACCTCTTCCTTTTCCTTGCTCTTTTTCTCCTCCCTTGCACAGTTCCCTGAATAATGGTTTTGGATAGGCCACACGATTTTGTAACATGACCATACCAAATCATTTTTCTTCGCTTCACAGTAGACAACAAGTCTAAATAGTGAGTCATGTGTTATTTCACTCTACTGCGCACTTCCTCATTTGTGACGTGGTCATTGTATGAGATGCCAAAGGGTCGTCTAAAGCATCCCATTTCGGCTGTTTGGGTCTTCCTCTGAAGCTCTGCCGTCAAGGTTCATGATTCGCCACCATGCAGAAGGATGGAGATGACGAGGGCAAAGAGTAGTCTGATTTTGGAATTGACTGAGATGTTTCGATCTGTCCATATTGGACTTATTTTTGTAAGCGCCCCTGTCGTTTGTGCAATTCTTGCATGGACTTCTGGCTGGGCTCCTTCCTGGCTGATGATAGCACCAAGATACTTGAACTGGTCGACTGTTTTAAGCTGTTGACCATTGACCGTAATTTTGATTTTAACTGGTTCGTCATTATTTCTCATCCTTTTTTTGTTTTTTGGCACTTATTCCCATGCCATATCGGGTTAATATTTCATCCAGATCCAGAAGTTTTATCAGTCCGGCGAGTTCTTCTTCATTTCCTGCCAGTCAGTCAATATCATAGGCAAACCTAAAGTTGGTAACTATTCGTCCACCGATGCTGACTGTGCTCGTATGAATTTTTAAGGGCATCAGTCATACTTCGTTCAAGAAAGATGTTGAACAGGGTAAGTGATAGCAAGCAACCTTGGCGTTCCCTGACGGTAGTTTGGAACCATTCTCCTATTTTCCTTTATTTTCCTTTGGGCGAGGACTGCACAGGTGGCTTCTTTAAATAGCTGTTGGATCGACTCTATCAACTTTTGGCCCATGTTGTATTTCTTCATTGTTGCTCAAAATGCATCATGCAAAGGCCTTTTTTTGAAATCAATGAACACAATTCATGGAAGATGTCTTGATTGTGTTGACTGTGTTTCTCGCACAGAACTCTGAGATTGAATATCTGTTCTGTTTTACTTCTTCCATGCCTGAACCCGGCTTTCTCTTCAGCAATTATTACTTCTGCCTGAGGTCTCAATCGGTTCAGTATAACTTTCAGCATCACTTTGCTTGCACGGTTTATCAGGCTTATAGTTCGATAGTTTTGGCATATCTGTAGATTGCCTCTCGTAGGGAGAGTGATGATAAGAGATTGCGTCCAGGGTGTGGGGCATTCCCCCGTCTTAAAGATTGCATCCAGGATACTAGTGATGATGTCCGCCACTGTCTCTTCTCCATGTTTGATCAATTCTACAGGGATGTTGTCAATGCCAGCTGCTTTTTCGTTTTTCAGTGTTCTAAAGGCTGTCTCTACCTTTTCACTAAAGATTGGAAAGTCATCGTTGTTTGTCGATTCATGGCAAGATGCTACATTGGGGTCACCATTGGATGGATGGTTATAAAGGTGTGAACACTACACAGTCCATCTTTTTAAGATATCCTCCTTCTCTGTGAGGCAGTTCCCGGCTTTGTCTCGGATGGTGCTAACTCGTCCTGTCTTGGTTTTGTTGGTTCCTTTACTGTTTGGAATGCTCGTTTGCTACTGTTCGTCTCCAAATTTTCCTCAATTTCCTTACACTGTTTCTCAACCCACTCTTCTGTTGCTTAACTCATGCTCTTCCTGATCCTTTTATTGATATATAGCAGTAATCTTTAGCTCCCGAGGGTATGTTCTTGCTTTTCTTCCGATCTCTACTTTTATCACACATTTTGAGGATTTCTTGCGTGGCCCGTGGTCGGATTTTACTGCTTACCTTTTCAAGCAGGTCGTTTTCTGACTCTGTCATCACTTTGTTAAACTGACCTGTTAGTAGAGTCGCTTCACTTTGGTCTGCTAGAATTAAAAGAAGCGCGAACTTCCCTCCGACTGCTTCCTTCAAAGATTCTGCGATGTTGGGGTCTTTCAGTCTGTCCAGATCAAATTTTTATTGTGGCACTTTGGAGCTTCTTTGTGTTCTTCAATCTGACTTTAAAGTTCATCAGGGGGGGGGGGGGCTCGTGGTCTAGATGTTAAGGTGTTGGCCTGTTATTCAAAGGTCCCGGGTTCGAATCCGGGTAGCGACCGAAACATTTTCTTCTCTAAAATTGTCTCCTTTCACCTCCTTTCCTGCTCTCTAGCAATATTCTGTGGTCTACTTTCGTCTCCTCTTCTGCCCCCACCCCCTCACCTCCTTTGCTCCCTCCTCTGGGTTCCTGACTCTTTCTGCAGTCTTCCTACTGCTACTCCTTGACTCCTTCACCAGCTGTCTTTCTGCCACACCCCTGATCTTCTGTTAGGAAAGATCTACACCTAGCCTTCTCGGACACGGGCGAAAAATCTCGGAGGGCCCGTGTGCAAGTTGCTCACGTTAAATATCCCTTGGAGGTCTAAAATCGATAAGAGTAGGCTTCGGCCGCCACCCGGGCAAAATTCAAAATTTCCTACCGACTAAATGTATTAGGTGTGTCCCGCGCGCTCATATGACCTTATTCAGTTGCGAGCGCCGTAAAACACTGACCAAAAAAATAAAATTTAAATAAATAAAAAATTCAGCAGTACCCTGTCATGATCGCTTCCGACATCTGCACCAGGATACGTTCTTGTGGTGGCGCTTTTGACACATTTGATTGAATTTCTCGGTTTGTCTGTTGGGATGTTGTGCCACTCTTACCCCGAGTTGATCCAGACAGAGAGGGTCGATGCCAGCCTCCCAATTTGGGTTGGCTCTCATAGGCAGGGTAGAAACAGCCCGCCTCTTAATCTTTTTTATATCCATTATTATGTTGATGGGGAAAATTGGGGGGGGGGT